GAGAGAGAGAGAGAGAGAGAAGGGAAGAGAAAGGAATCGAGAAAACGAGGCGCGAAGAGCGAGACAGAAACAGGAACAAGTGGAAGGGAAACGAACGACGAGTGGATCGTTGGTGGGAGAAGAACAGAAAAACCCAGTTGACGATAAGGAGAAAAAACCAAGGTAAAGGAGGAACACGTGGATGACCGGCAGAAATACTACGAATTGAAAAAGTGGGAAATCGAGAAGAGAGAGGAAGAGACCTTCGCTGCACGCGAAGAAAAAACAATAGGAAACCGAGGTGGAAAAAATGTAACAAAAAAGAAAAAAAAAAACGAAAGAAGGTTGTCGAACATAAAAGGTGGAAAATCAAGGGGGAGAGAGAGAGAGAGAGAGAGAAGGAGGAAACGAAACATTCAGATTTCTCTTTCTTCGACGAACGGAAGAGCACACACAACCACGCGATTTTGGGCGTTCTACTCTCCCCTCCTACGTCGCCGCTTCACGAGGGTCCCCTTCACGACTGCCGAAAACGACGTCGAGGAGACCTTCGTATGGCAACTCGCCCGCCGACGGCGACGCCGAGACGTATTCCGCATACGTAAACCCGCGTTTCCACTCTCGGTGAACGACGAATCCCGCTGGCGTCTCACGAAATTTCGAAGAAATCCTCCATCCTCGAAATCAACAACCCCACAGAGGTGTGTTCAAGTTCGATACACGTCTCTGGAAACTATAATAATTTACGACTCGTCTCGCTCGTACATTTTTCGAATTTTTTTTTTTTTCAAATTTCCGCTACTTTGAAAAAGAAACGTATTGTTACATACTTGGGAAATGTTTATCGAACCGAGAGCAGAGTCGTACGATTTCAGTTTAAAATTCCCGGTAAAACGGCAGTTTCTTAAGACGCGATTTTCTCGCGGGGAAAACGACCGACGAGTGGACAGCAGAACAGTTTACATCCTAAAGGGCGTATGTATTTTCAGCGACGAAGTATTTAACTTTGCTCGTTGAACTTCTGCGCGGGTCACTCTCCGGTGGAACTTTTATTTTTTTTTTTTTTTTTTTTTTTTTTTTTA